TCATCAGAAAGGGTCTAGGCCCGAAACGTCAGCCTCTCTGCTCCTATGATGCTGCTTGGCCTGCTGTGTTCATCCAGCCCTGCACCTTGTTATCTCGGATTCTCCAGCATCTGCAGTTCCTACCATCTCACATCAACTGATATGTCACCCTGAGATCATACATGCAGCAAGTAATTGAAACAAATCATTTCCTTTAATTATAAAGGAGAACTGTACACATTGCATGACAGCAATATGAAAAAGATGTGTCTCTTTTAAAAATTGCAAAGTTTTTTTTAAAAACTATTTTGCATAACAATTTTTTCCTTGAACACTTGGCGTTTTGTTAATCTGATGACTAGGGATTTTGCCTGACACCAAGAGAAACCTAGTAATTAAGTCAATTTGAAGGCCACAGCTGTGTAAACCTAGTTTTATGTCTTTTATACACATTGGTGCATTATACAAATTAAGATGTAAATTCATTAATCCCATTATTAAGTGTAGAAATACAATTTGTTTGATTTCTGCCAGTTACGTGTTAATTTATCTGTTATTTGGCTGTAGATCTATACTGAATATTATTCTGTTACTTCCTAGGTTCCCCTTGCAGTTGGAAAGCGGGCAGACTGTGGAGTGCACAGTAGCACAATATTTCAAACAGAAATACAACCTTCAGCTAAAGTACCCACATCTACCCTGTTTACAGGTGGGACAGGAACAAAAGCACACCTACCTGCCACTTGAGGTGAGAGATAACTGAAAGTCATTCACTCTTACCAGCTTGATCTAATCCAGTATCTTAAGGAAAGTCATTTTGTTATGCAAGCACCACTGGTTAACAACCAAACAGGAATCTTGGTTAATTTGTTATCTTGTCCAGAAATTGAAACTGAAATTCAAATTTGGTATTTGCTATTCTTGTAAATTGTGGGCCATTTAAAAATCCAAAAGAAATCAAGAGAATCAAAAATATTTCTTTTCTCAAAATTGGATGAGGTAAAATATCTGAATAGACAGGTTGCACAGAGAAAGAAGATTTGCATTTCTATAGCATGTTTCAAAACCTTAAGATGCCTCAAAACACTTTGGAACCAATTAGGCATTGTCAATGTGGTAATGGAGAAAATTTGTGAACCGCTATGTCACAAATGGCCAGATGACCTTTTTAAATTAATGTTAATCGAGGGATAAATATGGACCAGGTTATCAGAAATGAAGCCCTTCTCCTCTTCACATTGACACAGAACCTCTTAAGTGAATCTGAGAGGTCTGTTGAGCTTCAGATTAATGTAATTCAAAATAAAGGCACATGAAACTGTAATATTGAGTGAAGTACTTTCTCAGTATAGGCTTTTATTTTTTACGTGTTTCTTCTGGAATTGTAATTGGCAAGTGTCTTTATATAGAAGAGATCATCATGAAAATCTTGACTGGAGTTGTGGGTTACAGTGAGAGAAAATTTCATAACACTACATTTCAGTTCATTGACCTCTCAATTAGTTTTAAACCCAAAGGGCTTTAGTTTATTAATTTTGGAGCATCACTGCAGCCAATATTTATTTTGCAAACATAAACAGAATTTGTTTTAAAATCACATTACACATCTTTTGACTAATTATTTTCATATCAGCACCTCAGCCTGCATGGTATCAACTTTTAGACTGTAGAGATAATGGGTTTGTCATTAGCTGTTAGCCAGTCATGTTTAGTGTTATGTTTTTAACAACAATGTGCAATCCAGTCTACAAAATATATTCCTTTGTGTGGTGTCATAGCCTAACTGCTGTACCGTGATCTTTAACATTGCCAGAAAGCATTCATAATGAAGACATTGCACCTGCATGTATTAAGCTAGTTATTGCTGTGAAATGATAGTTCTAGTGTGTACATATTAATGTTGTGTGAAAATTGCTTTCTATGTTTCCGCTGATGTACTACTTTTAATTAGGTGTGCAACATTGTTGCGGGGCAGCGCTGTATCAAAAAACTGACAGACAATCAAACATCAACCATGATTAAAGCAACAGCACGGTCAGCACCTGACAGACAAGAGGAGATTAGTAAACTTGTGAGTGATGGATTGTTTCTGCATGTAGTCAAACTGTGGTTGAGGCTTTTGTAACTTCAGTGTGTTGCTTAGATGCAAGAGTTTATCTAATGGATTTAAATTTGTAAAGAAATTTTTTACTTTCACAGGATGTGCTCATCACCTAAAACATGAATTTCATGGTCTTCACAAAAATTTGGCGATTGTGCCAGCATTTTCCAAATTCTGTGATCGTGAGCTAATACTCATTTCTAGTTTGACCTTACGGAACAGCAGGAGTTCATCTGTTCCACCGTTCAATATGATCATGATAATTTTTGGCTTCAACTCTAATTTTCCTGCCCACTCTACAGATCACTTGATTCCCTAAAGACCAAAAATTCGTGTGACTGAGCCTTAAATATATTCAGCAATGGAGCTTCAATCTTCAAGGGTAGAGAATTCCAAAGGTTCGCAAACCTGTGGGTGAAGAAATACCTCCTCATCTGAGCCTGACCTCATTGTTCCCTTGCCTAGGATGGTGCCACCGTGTTCTAGATTCCCCAACCAAGGGAAATATCGTCTATATTATTGAGTTCCTTCACAATCTTTTATGTTTCAATGAGATCTCCTCTCATTCTTCTAAACCTCGGAATATAGACCCAGTGTAGATCATCTTTTATTGTAGGGCAACAGTCTCATGCTTTGTCTCTTTCTCTACATTTAAGTGCCTCACTCTCTGCCTTGCTCATCCACTTTCTAAAATATTCATCATCCCTTACTTCTACTCCCCCACTGCCTGCCAAAATCTCCCTCCCAATCAGTCTCCCCATCACCATTTCACCTCATGGTGATTTTAATGTTCAACTAAATTTTCCTTTGTCCCTGTCTCACTAATGTGTTTCAGCTCTCTCTATATAATCAACTACTCCATCTTTGGTCTTATTATACATAACTTCAAAATATCTAATTTTATCTTTACAAAGCCTAAAGCTCAACCAGGAACTTCTCAACTCATCAGAATAAGTAGCAATGATAAATAAACTGGACTATTCTTCTCATGTTTCTTAAATTGGTTAACAATTGGCTGTGTAATGCAACCCATGTTCTTTTCATGCTGTTTTGAAATATATTTTAATTTGAGTATTTGATATTTTACCTTTTGCAGGTAAAAAGTGCAAACTACGATGACGATCCATTTGTCCAGGAATTTCAGTTTAAAGTGAGAGATGAGATGGCTCATGTCACTGGGCGAGTACTTCCCGCTCCCATGCTGCAGTATGGGGGAAGGGTACGTTATGACAATGCTTATGAAATTTGTAACTGTCAAATGAGGAGTTGACGATTTTACTAGAAAATAATCATTTTTAAACTTCAGAATATCAGTGTTTGCATTGTACAATTAGGGGAGGCGATGGTGTAGTGGTATTATCGCTGGACTGTTAATCCAGAGACCCAGATAATGTTCTGGGGACCCAGGTTCGAATCCTGCCATGCCGGATGATGGAATTTGAATTCAATAAAATATCTGGAATTAAGAGTCAAATGATGACCATGAATCCATTGCTGATTGTCAGGAAAAACCCATCTGGTTCACTAATGTCCTTTAGGGAAGGAAACTGCCATCCTTACCTGGTCTGGCCTACATGTGACTCCAGATCCACAGCAATGTGGTTGACTCTTAACTGCCCTTTGGGCAATTAGGGATGGGTAATAAATGCTGCCTAACCAGTGACACCCTCAACCCATGACTGAATAAAGAAAAATAAATTATCTAGTGATGGGCAACAAATATTATAAACCTGTACACTGAACCTACTCCTGATTTTAATTGTCCTGTGTATATGTTTTGATAGTTTTTTCATGTTAGTAGGTCTTAATGAGAACTTTGGAACACTTGTTTAGACAATCTGGTATTGGGCATGCAGACGTTGTGGTTTGCCCATTGCAGCTGGTCATGCATGACCAGTGCCTCCAAACTGGGAGAGGGCACTCACGTTGGTATGTCCAACTTGCCAGTGAATTTGCAGGTTTTTGGGAAGACAGCTCCAGTGATAAGTCTTCAAGGATTTGAAGTGTCTGCTGTACATGGTCCATTTTTCTGATGCATACAGGAAAGTAGGGACCAGAGCTGCTCTGTATACTGTGAACTTGCTGCTTGGTTTGAGATCTCGTCTTTGAACATTGTCCTCAGGCACCGGAAGGCTGTAGTGGTGCACTGGAGTCGATGTTGGATATCATGGATATATGTTGGCTGTGGAGGCCAGGTCATTGAGTATATTTAAGATGAAGATTGATAGGTTCTTGGTTGTCAAGGGGATCAAGGGTTACAAGGAGAAAATGGGAGAATGGGGTTGAGAAACTTATCAGCCATGATTGAATGGCGGAGCAGACTTGATGGGCTAAATGGCCTAATTTCTGCTCCTGTTTCTTATGGTTTTATCGTGTTGTCCAGGGGCTCGCCATGTATTTGATTATCAGGCGACAGTGTTGTGTGGGAGGAGTGGGTTGATGGACAACCTTTGTTTTCCAGATGTTTAATCTGAGATACATTCTCTCATGTACCTCAGTGAATGGGTCAACGACGGTTTGTGTTTCATCCTCAGAGTGTGTACATGCACAGGAATCGCTTGCCTGCTGCAGCTCAGTGACAGGAGTTGGGATAGCCTTAGTCTGACCTGGAAGTATCAAAGGTTGAACAGTTTCCCACTCGCTTATAGGTTGGGTCCGTAGGATGCTTCATGGAGATGAGATGAAGTGTCATGTTTCAGCAAAGAAAATGGTGTAATGGCAAGGCCCCTGCTTAATCCCAGTTTGTGCTCATATTGGGTCCATGGTGGACTTGCTGGTGAGGATTGTGGCTCATTCCATCGTGAAGCAGGCAGAGAATAGTAACAAATTTCTTCAGGCAGTCGAATTTTAGGAGGATATTCCACAATCCTTCACTGTTGACAGAGTCGAAGACCTTTGTGAGATTGAAGAAGGCTATGTGCAGAAGTTGGTGCTGTTCCCTGCACTTATCTTGGATTTCTCGCACACTGAAAATCATGTCTATTGTGCCACTTGATTCATTGTAACTGCATTGCAACTCATAGGGGAGTTCTTCAGCCACTGGGAGGAGGCAGTTGAAGAGGATTCTCAAAATAACCTTTCCCATGGCAGACAGTAGAAAAATCCCTCTTTCTACAATTGAGCCTGTCTCCTTTCTTGAAGATGGTCACAATTATGACATCGTTGAGATCTCCCAGCATGGTTTCTTCCTTCCAGACAAGTGCAATGAGGTTGTGGATCTGTGTCAAGAGTGCCTCTCTGCCATATTTTAATACTTCAGCTTGTTGTGTCTTGGCTTTCGGATGACTTTTTCAACCTCACGGCAGGTTGGAGGTGTGTTGATTTGGTGACAGATAGATAGTGTACTGCAGGTTGGCATTGAGAACAACTACATCAAAGTCTGCAACTTGGTTGAAAATTCCTCAAAGGTGCTGAGTGCCTCTTGGTCTTTGAGTGACCCTCCGTTTTTTGGCTCTCAGTGGAGTAGATTCCTGGATACTCAGCCTGTGGATGGCTTTGATTGCACTGAAAAAGCTGTGCACGTAGTGGTTGTCAGTGAGTTTGAGTCTCCTGCACTCAATTCCCTGAAGGCTTGTTTCCTCTCGCTCAGATTTTGGTGGAGCTACTGGTTCAAAATGCGTTGTGTTTGCATTCTCATCAAACTATCGATGTTGATGTTTCCTGGTCAAGAGACCAAATGTCTCCACATAGGTGTTGACTGTGGTTCTTTTGAGATGGACCAAGTGCTGGGTACTTTGCAGCTTTGATATGTTGATTATCACCAGAATGGCTGTGAGGTGCTGCCTGAGTAGGTCAGTCTTTGAGATTGTCAGTTGTTGAGACTGGTAACATTTGAGTCTTCTATGGCAGAGTTTTTCTACCTCTGCTGGTTTGGAGCTAAGTTGATGGAGATGGTAGAGCAGATTAGTCGGTAGTTGGTCCAGCACTCGTCGGTTCCAGTCATGGTGCTGATTTAGAAGACATCTTTGTGGTCCCTCCCTTGAGCAATGATGTAGTCTATTAGGTGCCAGTGCTTGGAGCAGGGTGTTGCCATGAGGTCTAGTGCTTGTCTTCAAGTGGAACAGGGTGTTTGTTATGATGAGGTCATTATCTAGGCACTTTTTCGGGAGGACTCCATTGAAATTTGTTTTCCCAATGGGATTTTGGACTGGTTTGCATCCCTCATGAGTCTGGCATTGAAGTCATTGAGGAGAATCAACATCTCTTCCTTGGAGTTGCAGGACAGGGTGGCTGACGTAGAATGCTTCTCTTGTCTGATCCGTTTAATCTAGAATGGAGACATATGCACTTGTTACGACTCAGAGACAGACAGCCAAACCAAACCAGCCTCTCTGCGTCTGTATTGCAACACAGTAAAATTTAAACCTTCAAAGGGTCTCAAAATTAACTCCAGTGTTTCCTAATTGACTTTCTGAATAACCAATCCCAGACTCTGCGAATAATCAATTCTAGACACAGGGTCTGTAGCTCAAACAAAAGACTTAGCAATTTATAACAATACAGTAACTTCAGTAGAGCAAATTTTTTTTAAAGGTTTAGTTCACGTCTTTATTTAAATCCCATATTCATTGTCGTCAGCCGCATTCGCACAAAAACAAGCACACCAATATAATTAAGGAATAAATCAAAGAAAATAACAAAATTGGCCAGCTTTCTTAAATGGTTTTCACAATGTGTTGTTCCACAATCGTAGCTGATTGTTTCTTAGTTGATGAACTGAAGATATTGATCAAGTCCACCTTTTCAATTCACTCAAAGGAAATCAATAAGACTTGTAGCTTTGTTTCTGTTCTCTGAACTTCCAATAGCAGAAAACAAGAGGTTCGGCAGGGAGCTTTCAAATCCTCGTGCTGTAGCATCAACTGCAAAATTCCTTCTCACAGAAAACACATCCCAAAACCCAGTTCTAAACTCTTGTCTCTCCCTGTCAGACTGACCATTTCTCCATGATGTCCTAGTTACCATTCAGTTGCCATCTGCTTGAGCACTAGGTCTTTCCCAGACTTCGTGGAACCAATTCCCAGGTACTGACCTCGTTTATGGCCAAACATTTGCTATCTGTTAAACATGCTGTTCTTTGCTGGTGTCAAAGAGTCTGTAGAACCTTTTGAACAAGAACCAACCTGCACTTAACTTCTTGGCATGGCCTCGCAAACAAACAACAGCTTGTTTCTCCAGATTTCCCTCATTTTAGACACAGTCCAAATGTCATGTTCAGTCAAAGTTCACGGTTCACAGCTCCAAACCAAAATTTATGAAAGAAAAAACTAAACTAATGAAAAATCAGGAATGATTCTAACACACTGATGACTGTGTTGTACTTTTTCTGGGCCAGAGTGAGCTGTAGAGTCATGAGGTACCCAGGGGTTTCATTGAGACACAAGAGCTGTTCATTCCTGATGGCCAAAACTGCCCCATAGAGAAAACGTTCTTCTTCTCGTTTGCCTTTCCAGAAGGCAGCTTTTTCTTTAGGCTGACCTCCTACCAGTCATGTCTCACTGGCACTGAGTGAGTTGAGGAGGCTGGCCTGGCTGTGTTGCAGTACATTCCAGGGATGTGCCAATAATTAAGTTGTACTGAGCTATGTAATCTTACATGGTTTATCTTGACCTCAGAAGAGCCTAATTCAGAACTATTATTGAAAATATTTTTTGAAAAACTATATAGACAAGAATGTGAGATAACAAGGTGTAGAGCTGGATGAACACAGCAGGCCAAGCAGCATCAGAGGAGCAGGAAGGCTGACGTTTCGGGCCTAGACCCTTCTTCAGAAATGGGGGAGGGGAGGGGAGTTCTGAAATAAATAGGGAGAGAGGGGGAGGCGAATAGAAGATGGACAGAGGAGAAGATAGGTGGAGAAGAGACAGACAGGTCAAAGAGGCGGGGATGGAGCCAGTAAAGGTGAGTGTCGGTGGGGAGTTAGGGAGGAGATAGGTGAGTCCAGGGAGGACAGACAGGTCAAGGGGGTGGGATGAGGTTAGTAGTAGGAGATGGGGGTGGGGCTTGAGGTGGGAGGAGGGGATAGGTGGGAGGAAGGACAGGTCAGGGAGGCGGGGACGAGCTGGGCTGGTTTTGGGATGCGGTAGTGGGAGGGGAGATTTTGAAGCTTGTGAAGTCCACGTTGATATCGTTAGGCTGCAGGGTTCCCAAGTGGAATATGAGTTGCTGTTCCTGCAACCTCCTAGACAAAAATTGTTTGAAGTATTGTTTCTTGGGTTTTTATTGGATTAACCCTTTAGGGTTACATTAGAAGGTATATGCTAAGATAGCATTAAAAATGCAATGTCCTGTGCACTGGAATTTGTCATAGTTTATGTATATTTTTAAATTCTCCTTGTTCAGTAATATGTGTCTGTGCATCATAGAAGGTGTACAGTATCCAGAGGGTTGATGATGTTATGAGAGTGTGCAGACTTTTTTTTAACAAATTGTGATGACATTCCTGGTATGCACTGAGTTGCAACATCTTGTTTTATAGGTGGAACCAAGTCATTTCAGATTACAAACTGTAAGTAACTAAGGATGGCTAAATGAACAGTGTGATATAGTCTCAAAATATCTTAACTTAAATAAACATATACAATGCTGTTTACCTTGTGTGTCATATCTTGAATATTTGCATGGTAAGCTATTTTTTGGTCCATTTAATTAAAGCTTTACCAATCAACAGAAGCACTAGTGAGAAACCTACTACTAGCACATTTAATGTAGTACAGTAATACAAAAGCAAAATACTGCAAATGCTAAAATTCTGAAAGAAAAACAGAAAATGCGAGAACTACTCAGCAGGTTCACCAAAATTCTGAGTTCAGTTCTGAGGAAGGGTCGCTAGTCCCGAAATGTTAACTTTGATTTTTTTTCATAAGTGCCGCCAGACCCGCTGAGCTTTTCCAGCAACTTCTGTTTTTGTTCTGGCAAAATCTCTGCTATATCATTAGTCATAGCATCATGCTGAAGGCGGCAGGTACAGTGGAGGGTTGAATATAGAGAGACTGGCAGTGGAAAATGAAGACCTTATTTGAGAGTGTGCCAGGTTGTTTTGGAAATGTGAGCCAATGAGAGGAGACTATTCTGTCAAATTCTTAAACCCTTGATCGGCTTGTAAACTACTGCCTTATTTAGATTTAAGTTGAAAAAATCTTTTTAAAAACGCAGATGTATCAGTTGTTTATTTCTGATCTCTTTATGCTGACCTGTTTCAATTCAATAGTCAAACACATTGTACAAACCTTCTGTAACAAGATTTTAAAAGCTAAGTTGATGAACAGATTCAGAGCTATTCAGATAAATCATTTTAATGTTGCTTCTAATTGTGAAATTTACATAAGTAACCTTTTTGATCATTGCATGAAATGAAAATGTTAAATTTGTGTAAGATTTTCCATTTTTTTTCACAACAAGGTGTGGTTGACTTGATCTTTTATTCTACTACTTTCTCCAGAATCGAACGGTTGCTACTCCAAGTCATGGTGTTTGGGACATGAGGGGGAAACAGTTCCACACCGGGGTTGAAATCAAAATGTGGGCGATAGCATGTTTTGCAGCACAGAGACAATGTAGAGAAGAAGTACTTAAGTAAGATGATGCTTCCCCTAAATTTAAATCTTTTGTTCCAACTAGAAACTTCCAAACAAATCAATTGCTTTTAAAGCCTTACAATTATTCTAATTTCAGTCTTGGTTGTATTTAAATTGGTTGATCATCACTTACCACTGTCTTCTCAGGAGTTTTACTGACCAGTTGCGGAAAATATCGAAAGATGCAGGGATGCCTATCCAGGGCCAGCCATGTTTCTGTAAATATGCACAAGGAGCTGACAGTGTGGAACCAATGTTTCGGCATCTGAAGAACACCTATTCAGGACTCCAGCTCGTCATTGTTATTCTACCTGGGAAAACACCTGTCTATGGTAGGTAATATGCTTTAAATTTGTAAGCGTACTTAATTATTCAGACTTCAAGATTTAAATCCTTACTTGGCATACTCCATGGCCAACAATTCCACTATAATATCTGTTTGTAACTCTCATTTATGTTTAAATCTCATTGGAGGTGATAGTAGGCATTTTGAATGTCGCTGTAGGGTTGATTTCAGACTCTAAGCTCTCATGCACTTTCAGCAAAAATGAATGTATCGCAAGCAGACGGTGCAAACATGACAAATTTTAACTCCATGCAGCAAATTACGAAATGCTTGTTGCTTTAGGTGGCATCAATGTGTGGAATTTAATGCCAAACTCATTTTTAGGAAGGGCGAGTAAAACATTTAATCAGGCAGTCGGGTGCCTCATAGGAATCCTGCTAAGGCACAGTATCTTACTGAGGTACTTAGCTTTGGGAAGGGGGTGCCCACTGACAGCCAAGCCCCTACTGTTGCTGCCACCCCTTCTTTTCAATGACCTTATTGCCTTTGCTTACCTAAGACCTGGGCCCCTTAACAGTCCTAGCTCTTCAATGTTCACATCACCAGCAGCCATGACTGTTCCCGTGGTGACACTGCCTGTAATGCGTAGTTGTCAGCTTCTTATTTATTAGCAGCTCTTGGTGGTAAGAGTTTCCATCCCAGAGACCCTTGGTCCTGGTAAAGGCCTACTGCTTGCAACTTATGTGCCTGAGGCTGTGTAGATCCTTATTAGCAATCCAGCCTGCAGGCAGAACTCTGTTACTTGCATTAAATACTGCCCAGTGTGTGTGATATTACCAGAAATTCTTAAAGGAAGCGAATGTAATTTTTATTTGTGTTTATTGTTATTGAATAATTCCTTGCCAGACAGGCCCTAATTTATACATTTATGTTCTGCATCAGCTTTAATGATGTTAGTAGAGGGGAGGGATTTGAAACATCTCTAAGCAGCTCCACTCACTGCAGTTGCGGGTCTTGAGTGATTTAAAGATTACAAAATGAAAAACACAGGCTGATTACCAAAGGATATGGGTATCCACTGTCAGAAAAATTATTTTTGATAGGAATCAAATACAAATGATGCCAGAGGTTTTATAGACAGACACTAGGGGAAGAACTTGGAATGAAAGCTTTTTCTTAACCCTGTACGTTCCTTTTAAATCCTAATTTGTTTATTTTAGCATTGCATTTGTTGGTCGTTTCATACCAGTTAAATGCAGTGTTATTTCAACACCTTTTCTGTTACCCATTATATAATTTTATACTCTTAAAGAAACACAATTTCGTATTGCTGAAATTATTATTTAATTCTTAAAGTTACAAGCTTAATCCATTCTGAAGTTATCTTGTTCTCCAGTGCAGTACTTACTAACGTCTTGCAGTGAATGTCTGTTATGTGCTTTTTATATACTTGGGCAAAATATATTTCAAGACATTTGAGTCATACAGCATGGAAACAGACTCTTCAGTCCACCTAGTCTATGCTGACCATGTTCCCAAACTAAACTGATCCGACATGCCTGCATTTGGCCCATATCCCTCCAAACCCTTCCTGTTCATGTATTATCCAAATGTCTTTTAAACATTGTAACTGTCCCTGTATCCACTGCTTCCTCTGGCAGCTCATTCCACATACTGACCACGCTTTGTGTAAAAATGTTGCCCCTAATGTCCCTTATAAATGTTTCTCCTCTCACCTGAAAAATATGCCCCCTAGTTTTGAACTCCCCCACCTTAAAGAAAAGACCTTTGCTATTCACCCTCTATGCCCCTCATTATTTTGTAAACTTCTATAAGGTCACCCCTCAACCTGCTACGCTCCAGTGAGAAAAGTCCCATCCTATTTTTATAATTCAAACCCTCCATTCCCGGCAACATCCTGGTAAATCTTTTCTCAATCCTTTCCAGTTTAATAATGTCCTTCCTATAACAGGGCAACCAGAGCTGCATATAGTACTCCAAAGAGGCTTCACCAACATTTTGTACAACCTCAACATGACGTCCCAACTCCTATACTCAAAGGTCTGAGTAGTGAAGGCAAGCAGCTAAACACCTTCTTAACCACCCTATCTAAATGTGACGCAAATTTCAAAGAGTTATGTACCTGAGCCCCTAGGTCTCTCTGTTCTACAACACTACCCAGAGCCCTACCATTAATTGTGTAAGTCCTGCCCTTGTTTATTTTATCAAAATGCAATACCTCACATTTATCCAAATTAAACTCCATCTGCCACTCCTCAGCCTGTTGACCTAATGATGAGGATCTCTTTGTAATCTTAGATAATCTTCTTCACTGTCCGCTATACCACCAATTTTGGTGTCATCTGCAAACTTACTGACCATGTCTCCTATATTGTCATCCAAATCATTTATATAAATGTCAAAACAAAAGTTGACCCAGTTCCGATTCTGTGGAACACCACTGGTCTCAGGTCTCCAGTCCAGAAATAAAAACCCTCCACCACCACACACTGTCTCCTCCTGTAAAGCCAATATTGTATTCAAATAGCAAGCTCACCTTAATCCCCTGTGATCTAACTTTACTAATTAGTCTACCATGCAGAACCTTATCAAAGGCTTTACTATAGTCCAAGTAAACTATGTATACCATTGTGCCCTCATCAATCTTTTTGATTACTTCCTCAAAAAACTCCAATCAAGTTTGTGAGGGACAATTTCCCTCACACAAAACCATGCTGACTGTCCCCAATTATTCCTTTCCTCTCCAAATGCATATAAATCCTATCTTTCAGAATCACCCCCAACAACGTGCCAACCACCGACGTCAGACTCGCACGTCTATAGTTCCCAGGCTTCTCTTTACAGCCTTCCTTAAATAAAGGCACAACGTTAGCCACTTTCCAGTTCTCCAGCACCTCACCCGTGGTTATAGATGATACATTATTTCTGCTAGGGGCCCAGTAATTTCCTCCCTAACTTCTCACAACATCCTGGGTACACTTGATCAGGTCCTGGAGATTTATCCAACATTATAGAACATAGAACATTACAGCGCAGTACAGGCCCTTCGGCCCTCGATGTTGCGCCGACCTGTGAAACCAATCTGAAGCCCATCTAACCTAAACTATACCATTATCATCCATATGTTTATCCAATGACCATTTAAATGCCCTTAAAGTGGGCGAGTCTACTATTTTTGCAGGCAGGGCATTCCACGCCCTTACTACTCTGAGTAAAGAACCTACCTCTGACATCTGTCCTATATCTATCACCCCTCAATTTAAAGCTATGCCCCCTCATGCTAGCCATCACCATCCGAGGAAAAAGGCTCCCACTGTCCACCCTATCTAATCCTCTGATCATCTTGTATGTCTATTTTCAAAGACCTCCAGTACTTCCTCTTCTTTAATGTAAACTATTTTCAAAACATCAAATCTTTATTTTCTGAGTTCTGTAGCCTCTATTTATTTCTCCACAGTAAAAACTGACATGAAATATTCATTTAATATCTCTCCCATCTCCTGAGGTTCAACATATATACGACCTCATGGATCTTTAAGGGACCAAACTCAATCCAGTTGCTGTTTTGCTGTTGATGTATTTGTAGCATGTCTTTGGATTATCCTTATTCTTATCTGCCAAGGCTATCTCTAATCCCCTGTTTGCCTTCCTGATTTCCCTCTTGAGAATGCCCTGAGACACTGTATACTCTTCAGGTGAGTCATTTGATCCCAGTTGTCTATATTTAATATATTCTTCATTTTCATCCTTGACTAGAACCTCAAAATCTTTATTCATCCGTTGTTCCCTAATCTTACCAGCCTTACCTTTCACTCGAACAGGAACATAAGGCCTCTCAACTCTCATTATCTCACATTTTTGAAAGTCGTGCCTTTACTTGCAAACAGTCTATTCCAATCAACTTTTCAAAGTTTTTATCTCATACCATTAAAATTTGCCTTATTCCAATTAAGAACTTTAACTTTTATGGAAGGCCTATCCTTTGTCATAACTACTTTAAAAATTAATAGAATAATGATCACTAATCCCAAAGTGTTCCCTGACTAATACTTCAGTCACTTGCCCTGCCTTATTTCCCAAGAGAAGGTCAAGTTTTGCTCCTTCTCTTGTAGGAACATTTAGTTATCGATAAAGAAAATTTTCTTGAACATGTTTAACAAATTCCTCACCATCCAAAACTTTACCTCTATGGCAGTCCGAATCAGTGTTTGTAAAATTAAAATCCTTGCTATTATGACCCTATTATTCTTGCGTATATCTGAGATCTCTACATATTTGCTCCTGAATTGCCTTTTAACAAATAGTGGGCCTGAAGTACAATCCCAAATAGGCGATCATCCCTTTCTGATTTCAACCCGGATATTTTCACTGGAGGATTCCTCAGAAATATGCTCTCTAATTACAGTAGTAATGTATTCCTTAACCAAAACGCCACCCCCTTCTGTCTTGCCTCCCTTTCTGACCATCCTCTAGCATCTAAAACCCAGAATATTGAGCTGCCAGTCCTGTCCTTCCCTCAGCCAGGTTTCTGTAATAGCAGTGAAGACTCCATCCCATGTTCTGATACATGCCCTGAGTTTATCAGCCTTTCTTGTAAGACCCCATGTACTGAAATAAATACAGTTTAAATTCTTCAGAGTTGCATCATTCTCTGACTTGCTCTTGTCTGTCTCTCCTAATTAACTTGGTGTTTTCTAATTCAGAACTATCCTTATCTGCCTTTGTATTTTCACTACTACTTAGGACTCCCCCTCCCCCCTTTATATTTTACAGGCTCCCAAAATAGAACTAGCAAATCCCCCTGTCAGAATATTGACTCTTTTCCAGATCAGGTGAAACCCATCTGTTTTATAAAGGTCTTTACCCCAGAAGAGATACCAATGATCCCAAAAATCTGAATCCCTGCACATTGTACCACCTGTTCAGCCGTTGATTTATCTGGTCTATCCTTTTATTCCTTCCCTCATTAGAACTTGGCATCAGGGGAGTAAACCAGAGATTACTACTTTTGAGGTTCTGTTTTTTAACCTTCTGCCTAACCTCTTATATTCACTCTGCAGAGCTTATCCCTTTCCCGAACTATGTCATTCCTACCAATGTGTACAACAACTTCTGGCTTCTTACTTTCCCCTTTGACAATATGCTTCAAACATTTTGAGACGTCTTTAACCCTGGCACCAGGAAAGAGCTGCTATACTGGTGCATAACTTTGCCCAGTTTTAGTGTAAATCTGGCATGTGTTGCTAGTATAACAAGAGTGTGTCCATTCATATAATCCACATCCACTTGAAGGGTGTGAAGGAAGTGAAAGATTAGCTGTTACATTCACTTTCATTGGACTTCATTTACATTTCATCATCTCCAATCAGCTAATCCACCTTGAATTGTTCATTAATCTAAATAACTGTTCAATGGAGCATGTAGATTGCTTCTGGTGATGAGGTTGGTTTGTGCAAGATTATGATGCAATTGTAATGTCACTAGATTATGTAACGCAAAGGCCCAGGATGGTGTTTTGTGAGCATAAGTTCAAATCTATATTTTCATCAGGTGAAACTCCGAGTACTGTTAATTGTGTAAATGAAGGCTCAGTGTGAGAGTGGACAGGGGCACACGGGTAATTACTTATGCAGTTATAAGATCAAGTATTACTGGTTACTCAAAGTGTGGTATATGTTCTTATCAGTTTAACATCTGATATATACCCTATCTGGGATCCAAATACTGTGGATCTTGAATCAGCAGATAGTCCCCCTACCTCTGAGCCAGAAGCTCAGGGCTCAACAAGGGATAAGCAATGTAAGATGGAGATGAGGAGGAATTTCTTCATTCAGCAGGTGAATCTTTTGAATTCTTTTCCTTGGGGGTCTGTAGCTGCTAAATCATTGAGTATATTCAAGATAGAAATTGATGGGTTACTGGAGACTAACGACAAAGATATTTAGAGATAGAATGGAAAAGTGTCATCCAGATAGATAATAGCCACGGTCAGCTGGATAGAGAGTCCTGACAAAGGGTTTCGTCCTGAAACGTTGACTTCCCTGCTCCTCCAATGCTGTTTGACCTGCTGTGCTTTTCCAGCTTCACATTTATTGACTCTAGCTTCCAGCATCCTTACTAGTCTTTAATATCTCCAAGACTGAAAGACCTACTATTTTTCCTGTGTTCAAGTCCCACTCCAGATTCATTGGCTATAGAAAGTGTGTTTATAATTTGGTTTAAGTCATTAACTAAATTGCTTAATAATCCTACAAACACTTTCCTACTATTCCTCAGGGAAGAAGGCATATATCAAGCGAATAAGATCATAATCAAATACAAAAAGGCACTCGATCTGGTACAGACAAATGTAGCAAATTGAAGGACTGCCTTGATGGTCTGTTCCTGCGCCTGATCAAAGTGCCTATTAACAGGTCTAGGCAGTGAGCAGTTAAGAGGATCATACGACCTGGCTGTCTGCCTCTCCTTAGTGGTTATGTGTGAACTTGAATGTCCTTGAAGAGGGAGAGTGCAGTGTCGATAATGTCCTTGCAATTAGTGAGCACTGCAGGAGTTGCAATGAATTATCACTCCCCATTTCGTTTAATATTTTCATTTTAGTTACAATGCCCCTATAAGGGATGATTCAGTGGTTGCTTTGTTAATTTGTTTTTTCTTACTCTGAAGAATATGAAGAGATGCTAACTGACACTGGTGTTCTGTTGTAGAGTTAAGAGCTATATGTTTTTAATATTTCAATTTGTGAATCTAAAACTGAGTGAAGATTTACTTCTGGTCTCTTCCTTCACCAACTGGCTGATAATTTTAACAAGAACTGTTCACAAGACTTACTCCGAGCGTGACTGAATGCAGCCAGTGGTGCTTCAGGGTATTGCAACAGCACAAGTAAAGGAGCATATTTCGATGCCATTTTATTATCTTGAAGCAATGTATTAATGTTGCATTGCAACAGCAGCAGCATTATTATGGTTGGAATTTCTTTCCAATGTTTTAGTCAGGTGCCTTAACTCAAAAGTTTAATTTCTCCCACTTTTTACTTTACTGTTGTATATTAAGAAGACTTTGTTTACCAGTAGGTGTTTCTAAGCAAACAGGGTGCTTTTTATGTATTGTCTAGTATTTAGTAGAAATGGTACCAGGACATGTCTATATAAATGAATTTGGGTGATTACAAAGTTATTTCAGCCAGGAGCACTAGTGGTTTGTGGAAGTGCAGGAACACTCACATCTGGGCTGTGAAGTGCTAGGAGTGAGTCTCCATCTATGCTGACACACACTGCAAATTCTTAATCACCCAGAAGACCAATTGAGCAGATCCTCAAGATAGCAATGTGGGTAGCCTGACTCTGTCAGTCTAATTGCCTTCATTGGGGAATCACAACAGACTTGTTTGGGCTTGAAAATCACCAAGAAAAAAATCTTATGATGCATTCACCTTTCTTCTAGCTGAGGTAAAACGTGTGGGAGATACTCTGCTGGGAATGGCTACTCAGTGTGTTCAAGTGAAGAATGTTGTTAAAACATCTCCACAGACGTTATCGAACCTCTGCCTGAAGATTAATGTGAAACTAGGCGGTATTAACAACATTCTGGTGCCACATCAGCGGTAAGTTTGTTTCCTTGTTTTGTGTCCTCCAAGATGCTTTACAGAAATATTATAAAACAAAATATAGCAATAGACATATTGAGTCAGATAACCATAGCTTCATCAAAGAAATAAGCTTTAAGGACAATCTTAAAAGAAGAAAATGAGGTGAAGGTGGAGAAATACTCCAGACCCTAGGGACTAGGTAACTGTAAGAACAGCCACCAATGATGAAGCAACTGAAATCAAGCACGTGCCAGAGGCCAGAATTAGATTAGCACGAGTATCCTGGATGGCTCTGAGGCTGGACAAGATTACAGATGTTCTCACCACTCAACATGAAGGAATTTGAAAAGTGGGATGAAAATTTCAACATTATGACATGATTCATTTGGGAGCTGATGTAAGTAAGCAAGGACATGGGTTATGGGGAAGCAAAACTTGTTGTGAGTTCTTATGACACAACTGGCAAAGTTTTGGATGACCTCATAGGTTTATGACCAGTATTAAAAATAATTATAAATGTTATCCTAAATTGCTAACAAAAGTACCTTTTTGATTTATTGATTGTTTTTGCCTATGTGAAGTTAGCAGTTTCCCTGGCAGTATAGGTGAAGGCTTTGACTTTTTGACAAGATGTTCACTGGTGTTCATCTGCAAAAGCTAGGGGTTTGTGAATTCTCATTCAGGTAATGTGGCAGAAGCTTGTTTTAATTTAGGTTTAAAGTATAACTCATTTTGGTGGATCTCAGTATGAACATGCAGTTATCTTTGCAAAGCAATGACCATGTTTCTCCAAGACTGAAATAGGTACGGTGGGTGTACAGCCATAAGGTGAATGTGGCTCCTTTTTGTTTTAAAACTTGGTAAGTCAATGAATGAAGCAAACAGACCTAGAAGGATTTTCTGTTGTGCACACTATGCTAATCTCCAAACAGAAGGCAATTAGCTGGGTGTCCCCAGCTAGGACCAAGAAAAATCTTAAGATCCTGTGTCATATTGATATTCAGTAATCCTTGCTCTCAACAGATGAGAACTGATTCAGGCTCATGGCAATGCATATTGACTATCTTGTGTCCGTGTAACAGCAAATTCATACCTGGAAAACCCTGAATTTGTTTACAAACGTACATAAGAGGAAGAAATAGCGCAAGATATAAATGTTATATTGGTAAAATCCAATAGTCAAGAGGCATAAGAAGGAAATTTGAAATAGCCTTGCTAGATGTAAGGGGCTCTTGAAATCTTCTGTATTGCTGAACTGAAAGTTCTAAAGTCCTTAATCACATGAATGAAAGCAACAGGCAGATCAGTGATTGTTTGCACAGAAAACAGGAATAACAAAGTCAATTAAATACTTAATGACATTAAAATTCACCCCAGTTTATTTTTGAATTGAAGCTTTCTAGTTAAGGTGGCTATTTCTATTGACACTTACCAGCAAGCAGAGCCAAATGTCAGTAAGAAAGGGGAGGAGTGGGTCAGATCTCAAACAACAACGATACAGGGTACAGGAAGAAGAGAGCTTAGTGGTATGGTGTAAAGACAACACTCTCTCCCTCAATGTCAATAAAATGAAGGAGCTGGTTGTCAACATCAGGAAGCAGAGTGGAGGACATGCCCTTGTCTGTATCAATGGTGCTGAAGTGGAAGTGGTCGAAAGCTTCAAGTTTCTAGGAGTAAATGTCACCAATAATCCTTCCTGGTCCATGCACGTCAGTGCCAAAGTCAAGAAAGCACACCAATGCCTCTACTTCCTCAGAAGGCTAAGAAAATTTGGCATGTCCATGATGACTCTTACCAATCTTTATAGATGTGCTATAAAAAGCATTCTATCTGGATGCATCACAACTTGTCATGGCATGCCCAAGACTGCAAAAAATCACAGAAAGTAGTTTACACATCACAAAAACAAGCCTTCCTTCCATTGACTATGTCTACACTTACTGCTGCTTCAGAAAATCAGCCAACATAGTCAAAGACTCCTCCCATCTGGTTATATTCTCTTCCACCCTCTTCCATCAGTCAGAAGATATAAAAATTTGAAAATACGCACCAACAGATTCAAGAACTGCATTTTCCCCGCTGTTAACAGATTTGTGAACAGACCTCTCCTATATTAGAGTTGATCTTTCTCTGCACCTTCTCTGTAGCTGAATGACTATATTCTGCATTCTGTTCTATTACCCTGATGTACTTATATACAATACTTTGTACTGTACCTCAGTACATGTGACAATAATAAATCAAATCTAATCAAATCAAAGATGAAGTTGGCGCTCCCGATGATGCATGAAACGATAAGTTTTGATGGAAAGGAAGACATTCGATGTTGCTATTGATGGTTTGTTGGTAGACCTTTCACTATTATGCAGTTAGCGTTTGTGTCAAATGCTTGCATTGTTTCATATATTGTCTATAATCTAATTGTGACAACAGTAGCACATAATGAGGTTTTAAACCAGTTTATACTTACCAACTTCAGTCACATTAGCATGAAATTGGCACCGACAAAAATAATTGTTTTCTAAAGGTTATACTTTAAATATACAAGACAAAATTTATTTATTTGTAATAAAGATAGTTGTTTGGATTAAAAATTATTTAGCCAAAAGATTTTAAGTCATTTGCAAATAATCAAATTTATATTCAGTTCATGCTCTGCAATTTATTCCAAGTTAATTTCACAAGAAACAAAAAGCACCTATATTTGCATTAAATCTGTTCCTGTTTTGAACAAGCTACTCAATAATTGTTTATTTCTTCATTTAATGTCTGTAGACCATCCGTATTCCAGCAGCCTGTGATTTTTTTGGGGGCTGATGTCACACACCCACCAGCTGGAGATGGCAAGAAACCCTCAATTGCTGCTGTAAGTGTTCATATATTTTTGACAAGAATATATGTTCTCAAATGGACAGTGGTAGAGGAGGGAGGGAGGGGGAAAATGTGCAATGTATGCAAGTCTTGACTTCTGCATTGTGTACTGTTAATATTGAATGTGGACGAAGGAACATGCTGAGCTCTCTTCCACTTAGATCATGAATTTTCCAGGTATATTTTTGAATTTGATCAACTATTTGATGGGCATGCTAAATCAAGACAGCCAACCTTACATTGAGATAGTAAGAACTGCAGATGCTGGAGTCAGAGATAACGCAATTTGGAGCTGGAGGAACACAGCAGGCCAGGCAGCATCAGAGGAGCAGGAAAGTTGACATTTTGGGTCAGGGCCCTTTTACAGGGTCCTGACCCGAAACGTCAGTTTTCTTGCTCCTGTGATGCTGCCTGGCCTGCTGTGTTCCTCCAGCTCCACATTGCGTTATCTGTAGCCCACCTTACATTACCAGGGTGGGTAGGGGTAAGGGTTGGGTGGGGGGGGTTGAGCTTGGTATAAATAGAAAAATATGTCAGCTTCAGGCATGATGTACTCCAGCTGGATTTCACAATTTGTTTGTCCAGGATAGAGGTCTATAACAAAGGCAACAAGAGCAGGCACAGGGAGAGAAGCCATCACAATGAAACAGTGTAAGACAGCGGACAATGACACATCCCTCCCTGACACACTCGATGCTTTCAATGCTAAGTTTGAGCAGAATACTACCAGTGTGGCAATGCCTGCTCTGACAGCCCCAGACTCACCTGTTCCCTCTGTCACCGCTTCAGAAGTCAGATCGGTCTTCCTGACAGTGAACCCAAAGAAAGCGACGGGCCCCAACGGTGTCCCCGGCCAAGCACTCAGATCCTGTGTGGATCAGTTGGCGGAGGTATTCACCGACATCTTCAGCCTCTCCCTCCTACAAGCCGAAGTCTCGACCTGCTTCAAGAAGACTACCATCATCCCCGTACCCAAGAAAACACATGCAGTGTACCTTAATGACTACTGCTGAATAGCTCTGACTTCAATAATCATGAAGTGCTTCAAGAGGCTGCTCATGGCCCACATCAATTCTAGTCTCCCAAACTGCCTCAATCCCCTACAGTTTGCTTACCAATGTAACAGATCCACAGAGGATGCCATATCCCTAGTCCTGCACTCATCCCTGGAACATCTGGACAACAAAGACACCTACGTCAGACTCCTGTTCATTGACTACAGCTCCACCTTCAATACCATTATCCTCTCCAGACTGATCTCAAAACTCCGTGACCTTGCTCTGAACCCCGCCCTCTGCAAATAGATCCTCAGCTTTCTGACCTGTAGGCCGCAATCAGTGAGGATAGGTAACTGCACCTCCTCCATAATAACTCTCAACACTGGAGCCCCCCAAGGATGCGTCCTCAGCCTCCTACTGCACTCCGTGTACCTCCGTGTACATGTACGACTGTGTTGCCAAATTCCAAACAAACGCCATCTACAAGTTCGCTGACAACATCGATGTAGTGGGCCTGATATCTAACGATGAGTCAAAATACAGAAGGGAGATAGAGGGCTTGGTGACATGGTGCAATGAAAACAATCTGTGTCTCAACATTGGCAAAACTAAAGAACTGATCATCGACTTCAGAAAGAAGGGAGGAGAACACACCCTCATCTACATCAACGAAACTGAGATTGAGAGGGTGAAGAGCATCAAGTTCCTCAGAGTGACAATAACCGACGACCTGTCCTGCACTTCCCAAGTAGATGTGACAATCAAGAGGGCACAGCAATGCCTCCTGTTCCTCAGGCGGCTCAGGAAATTTGAAATCTCCATAACGATCTCACCAACTTCTACAGATGCATCATTGAAAGCATGCTGTCTGGGTGTGTAATGGCCTGGTATGGCAACTGCTGTACCCAGGACCGTAAGAAAATACAGAAGGTTGTGTGCACAGCCCAGACCATCACGGAAGCCAACCTTCCATCCATGGACTCTACTTACACGGCTCGCTGCCACAGAAAGGCGACCAACATCGTCAAAGACCCATCGCACCCCATAATGACCTCCTATAATCTCTTCCGTCAGGGAGAAGATACAGAAGCTTGGACACACGCATGAACAGGTTCAGGAACAGCTTCTTTCTGGCCGTTATCAGACTGTTGAATGGACTCGAGCCTCAAACAATGTAACCTGTATGCCTCTTAAGTCTTTTTGACATCTGTACATCCTTTGCTTGCTGTGATCTGCCTGTACTGCTTGTAAACAAAGCTTTTCACTCTATTTTGGTACACATGACAATAAAATCAATCAATCAAACAAATGATTCTCTGGTTCTAATTAGATGGATTAGAATAGAGCCAGGTGAGAGCAGTCCCACCCACTGGATTCACAGAGCAGAGTTTTTGGCAATCACCTTAAAGATTGCAAACAGGTCAAGAATGACAAGGATGGAATGTTTACCTTTGTCACAGTCACATAACATGTCAATTTTACTATTGACGAAGGGAAAAATTCACTTGTCGCTGACTGTTGTGCTTCAGTATGAAGGCAGCTTAATGTTTGACCTATTTGATTGTGTTGCCCACATTCCTATATATGCAAATTTGGGTCATCAGGATCTTTTCATTTTCAAACCCCCTCACATCATTCATAAAGCGAGTTATCAGTGCATTAATCAGTCTGAGTACAATTGTCTGATTGCTTTTTCAAGGTTGTGGGCAGTATGGACGCCCATCCTAGTCGTTATTGTGCCACTGTGCGTGTTCAGAGACCTCGACAGGAGATCATTCAAGACCTAGCTTCAATGGTTCGAGAACTTCTCATCCAGTTTTACAAATCAACCCGCTTCAAGCCCACTCGAATTATATTCTACCGAGACGGTGTTTCTGAGGGGCAATTCCGTCAGGTAAGTGTAGTTCAACGTAACTATCATATCAGTTGTATTCTGTGCTCAAAGCTAATCAATGCAAGTTTCTAATTAAAGCTGGTATGACAAACATATTTTGCAATTATCTTTATAAATTTGTTATAACCAATTCAGGACAAACTCTGCTACATTTCTCTCACTCTGTGTGGAAATCTCTGTGCTGAAACCAACATAAGTATGAAAGTACCGTGTGATAACAAAGTTGTACTGAATGCTTCACTTTGCCAGTTTACTATTAAATGCAATATTTTCCTCCCATGGGCATAAATTTGAACTCTGAAAACACACAATGTCTGGAACAAGTGCAAAATCTGCTTCCATTTGGTTTTGATGGAGGGTGGACAAGGGACAGGCACTGCTCACAGGAAATGGGTTGACGACTTAAATATATTACTTGCCTTCATTTTTAACAATCATTCTAATTTTAATGGCACTCAACAGCTCAGAGGGGCGGAAAGTAGTTGAATCCATGAGGCAGTCCCTTTACAGAGCTGCCTGTCGGCAAGAAACACAATGGTAAAGCCTGCAGACAGACTAACCAGTAACTCCTAATCTCCCAATTTAGCTACCCCTCACTCCTGCTATAGAAATCTCCCAGGACATGAACCTCCCATGGGGTCCCTTCCTCAAAATCAAGACACCTCTTAACCACCATGGGATGGCCTCATTGCTATTCCTACTCAACAATCTATATTTTCCAATACATTTTCCTAATCTAAATAGTCTCCATTTTGTAAATCATGCTAAATATGGATGGAAAATCCACAGGAAAAATATTAAATTAATCTTGCAGATTTTCCTGCCTTCCGATGCTCTTATCCTACCCTGTCCCCATAACTCTTACAGAACATAGCTCTAGATTAAAATCCAGCCCATGATGTAATCTTGGGTGTAGCTGAATCCTTCAACTTTATGGAGCCACTTAATTGGCATTTCCCACCTATCATACTTCCATTTGCTTTTATGCTGTAGGTATTGTATTGTGAGCTATTGGCAATTCGAGAAGCCTGCATCAGCCTGGAAAAGGACTATCAGCCTGGCATCACATACATTGTTGTGCAGAAACGTCATCACACTCGATTGTTCTGCGCTGATAAGAATGAGAGGGTAAGAATTAGGATGAGAATCTCTCACCTGATCCATCTGGCTTGGGGAGTTTTATAACATGAGTTAAATCTTCAAATAGCCATTAAACTCAGTCATTTTTCTTAATGAGAACTAAATGTGAAATCGTACGTAATGTTTAAGATGAGATTTTTTTTTATTCCCTCTGTCTGAAAGGTTGGAAGAAGTGGAAATATTCCAGCAGGAACAACTGTAGACACAGATATCACCCACCCATATGAATTTGATTTTTATCTCTGCAGCCATGCTGGAATACAGGTATGAAATGAAAGTTTGATAGCACAATATTTTTATTCCTGGAGGATAAAGCAGAGAAATGTGTGAAAATATTTTTCTGGATTTTTCCCATGTTTACAAGTACCAGTTCTGTTAAGAGGGAAGATGAGTAAATAACTGGAGTTTAGAGCAGACAGCAAGCACATCCTGCTGGCTGCCATTTTAAAAAAACGCAGTTGTTGCAAAAAGGGGCATTTTTCTCCTTTTGAGTAAGCTCTCATAGCTTTAATTTTGTCTGTGTAATGTACTGAAGCCTAAAGAGATTGTACCTAAACAATATTATGGATTGCCTTTTACCAAGGAAAGAATCAGTTTTATTTATGTGACCTTTCATTACCTCATGACATCACAATGGACTTTGTAGCCAATTAAATACTTTTGGAGTGTAGTCATTGTTGTAAGGAAATGCAACAATCAGCATTCCCTCTAAATTTTTTTCTTCCTTGTGAACCTCCTGAGGTCCATGTGCAGTAGCGACTTCCAGTCCTAGATGTCAAAACTGTGATCAGCATTGACACACCGATTGCCATGTACAGAAACTCAGAACAGCAGCTGAGAGGAAACGCTGTCAGCAACGAATTTGCTCACAGCGTGGTCCTGCAAATACCAACATGCTAAATGACCAAACAATCACTAGATAAGCCAGATGAACTTTCGTGCTCTTCAGTATAGTGCTATATTCATTGTGCTTTGTTCTTTAAATCCAGACAGGTGAATTTCATAAATGATTACAATCATTTTGACAAAGTGGATTAATTAAAAACAGCCAGTGCTAATTTGTTGAAGGCACATCATTAATTAATTTGATTGAGTTTTCTTACGATCAAGTGAGCAAGGTTAAATCAGCTCCTGTCTTTTTAACCTCCTTGGTTAATTGCAACATAGATTTTTAATTCTTTTTAGCAAGTAAATTTATCACACTTCAGCTAAAAACGTAGTTTACTAGATTGAAATGAAAGACCCAGTTACAAAATTTGCTTACATGAAAGAAAGAGGAATTTTATTACTTACCCCAAGAAAAGTATTAAAATATGACATCTAACATACACACAAACATAGATACAATTTGCCAAAGGGGAGGCAGTGTCCAGGACAAAAGGAAGATGAAGAAATGTCCTTACTGTTTTGAAGTGTTGGGTTTAACCTGAGACAACAATTGTTTAATTCTTGTCTCATAACTTCAGCAGTAGTGAAATTTGTGAATGAATTTTTTGTGAATAAATGTTTCATCAATTTGGTTTTCACCAGGCACTGTCTTCAAGAAGCTGACAGAAACAGGGAAAAGAGAGCGCGCTTACCATTTTTGTTAATTTTAGCTTAAACTGATCCTTGTTTATTAATGGTTGGCTCATCCTGGCTCGGTGACCACCATAGCCATCTTAAGTCAGCAATTTTTATTTAGGATACCTTACCCTTAGCCTCAGGTAGATTGGGCACTTTTTTGACTAAAAGTGACCGCGTTAAGGTCTTCCATGAATATCCGCAGTATACAGGGTGATCAGAGTAACAGTTATCACATAGAGTGGTTTTGCACCCTATTTTCACTCAAGTTTATACAGTGAACAAATGGCTCAGGCCCTTTTTACAAGTTTTCTGATAAAGCCAATCTTATCATCCATGGAAATATAGAAATAACAACCTGTACACTGATCAGTGAACGTAGATTCAGTATATATAATGTCTTTTAAAGTTTTACCCATATTCAGCTTGGACCACTCTAGCATGCCTAGTAAAGGAGACTGTCTAGAGGAAGTAAGTATATTTGTAAGAGGATAACGGGATTTTAAAAATTTGCCAAGATTATTATTTGTTTCAGGGTACGAGTCGCCCCTCTCATTACCATGTTTTGTGGGATGACAACTGCTTCTCTGCGGATGAACTTCAGCTCCTCACCTACCAGCTATGTCACACTTATGTGCGCTGCACACGCTCAGTCTCTATCCCAGCACCAGCCTATTATGCACATCTAGTGGCATTTAGAGCAAGGTACCACCTGGTGGACAAAGAGCATGACAGGTAAGAAAGACGATATGTTGTCATTGTTAAATGCATATTCTGTGTTGTGTCCATGGTCTTTACATGTCAGGTTTTCTCAAGTTGATGAAGCAAGCAATAGACAATATCGTTAGCAGTGATTTGGGATTCACAGGTATGGAACTTGCATAAGTTAAAATCGCCAAAAGTTTTGCTTGAATGTCAAATTTAGGCTGTTCGTTCTTCAGCTGGAAGAATAATTAATTTCAGAATTTCAAACATTATTTTTGACTGCTTACAATACAATGCTGAAGTAAGCTAAGACAGACTGGCACTCAGTTGAAACAAGTTTGGCGCTGGGGTGAAAGAAACTGGACCAATGTGATGGAGATAGTGATGTTGGAGAAGATGGGCAAAGAGTGATTTTGTTTTTCACCGTATAGCTTAAATTTTTGTTACTAATAATAAACCTGTGGACACTGATTATCAAACAGGAAATCATTAAAATATTGAGTTTAAAGTTATTCTCCATATTCAAAGAATAAAATTAGCAAATTGGAGGCGTATGATAGACACTTGAGTTTTCAATACTCTTTTGTTACTTGATGTAGTTACTTGTTCCCTGCACATGGATGTTTGCAGTTTGTTTTCTTTTCGTTAGTGTAATTTTAGCTTTCCAGAAGCAACAGAAAACCTTTTGATGTTTATGAGAGCTGGGTTCAGCTAAATATTGTATAACTTTTGTGTGAATTTCAATGACTGCCAAAACTTCCATCAAATGAAGCAACACTTTGTTTATCCAGACATAGCAATTACACAAAGCTCTGTGGATAAAATTAATCTCTTTCTTAATTTTCTTGCAATGTAATAAATGTCAACAATGTCCAGGTCTATAACACCTATTGCAGTATAACTTCTATAAGTAGACTTGGAGGCAGTAATTGTATTCTATGTAGACATGATTATATTAGTTTATTATGTTTTTTGTTAATGTATATCCAGAAAAATAAAGATATTCAAGTAGGAGTTTGTCCAGTTTTGATTATCTTTCTCCAATATTCACAGCGCTGAAGGCAGTCACATTTCTGGACAGAGTAACGGACGTGACCCGCAGGCTCTTGCCAAGGCTGTGCAGATCCACCAGGACACCTTACGCACAATGTACTTCGCTTGAGTTTGGGAATTTCTCTCCAGAAAGAACCGAAGATTTCAGCCTACATTTCCAGTGGGGTCAGTTTACGGGCAATGTCTCCAGCCATACTGTAACTTTCACTGTGCGGAGACAATAGTTTCAATAAACTGGCGGAAAGGGATTGTTTACCTACGAAGATCATAGCACTATTATGCAATACGAAACCAGCCAACTGCTCTGTGTGTGTGTGTGTATGTGTGTGTGCGTGTGCTCCGTCAGACCTCATGTCTGTGTCTTTCCTTTTTCCTTTGTCAGTATAGTTTCCTTTTTGCCTTTACCTCAGTGTTTGGCAGCACAAAACTCATCTTTATCAAGCAACACAAAAATGGACAAAAAAATGTTCCACAAACCTTGGATCTCAAAAGTAGTCACTGATTAGGTCAGATATCCAGCCATTCACTTTAGTCCTCAACTTTGTGAGGGTGGGGAGGTTGCTGTAGGTGAAAAAGACATGTTTGAAAATATACTCTACCAGTTCTTCTTGAGATTCAAGAAGTCCCACCTCCACTGTGCCACTGTTCAAATTCCATTTACTGGTTGAGTTATCAAATAAGTCAACTGACTGTTGAGTATAGCTAGTAGTTGTGGCTCAGCTTCATAACCAGAGCAGTGGAATTTTACATATAGAAGATAAAATCTAGGACTCGGATGTGCTTGAGCAATGATGATGAGAGAGAAACTTTTGAAAATTCCAAGATTTGGGGGCTCTGTTTAATGTAGAAACTTTTGCTGTTTCTTTTATTGTTTACTTGCTAGCTCACAACTAAATGTGACTTTTTTGTTTTAGCGTCCTTATATTTATTAGAAAAAAAATGCTTAATTTAATATGAATTTACATTAAAGTATAGTAGCATCAATCTTATTTAGTTCTGGAATGTAACCGTGTTGTATACTGACAGAACATTGCTACCGTTAGTGCAATAAGCGGTTGGTAAGAAAGCCCGTGTCCTATGCTGTAACGGAGCAGCAGTTGTACCACTATAACCGTGGGAGATTGGACACCTCCGCACTTCAGAACCTTATCAGTTTTAATAAGAAAAAAAAAGTTGAATGCAAAAAAAAGTAGGGCTGGGATGTTTTAATGTTAGTTTATTGGGACTTTATTTAATTTACACATCTAATCACTGAAATGTGAATTTTTTTCAAATATTTTTCTGTTTTATTTCAGTCATTCCATTTTAAGATAATATACCAAGTTTTTTATTTGGAATTTTTTCATAAAAGTTTGACTTGTTTCATTGATACAAATCTCATGATGTTGTTTGCACTTTGTAAAACCTCATGAACTGCATATTTTATCCAATGGTTGTCATTGCACTGGCTCGAACCGCAATATACAAAATGCTGCAGCCTTCTTGATGGATGGGCATTGCTTGAGTCCCAGCCCTACAAAACAGCCTCTCCTCCACATGAAAAAAAAATGTACTTTTACAGAATTCAAAAGTAACTAGAATATTGTGGAAACCAAGAAGAAACTGCAGAATTTTCCTCCCCTTCCACAAAAAGCAGGCTTATTGTCATTTGATTATAAAGCAAACTCAAATCTTTCTCAATTTATTACACACTTGCCTCGAACATAAGGGCTGATATTCTATGAACTCTGGCATGCAAACTTGCAATGGATATTCCAGCTTTAAAAAGGAATGTAGTGCCTATTTTGTCATAACTGATTCTTCAGGCACAATTGCAGTAATAAAATATGAAAAGTCTATCAGGTTTATCTCTCTTCCTTCAGCCCCTCAAAAGTGATGAAATAGAGTCAGATTAAATCAAATTAAGTTAATAAGAAAGTCTTAAGTTTTATTAATTGGGGAAGGTGAATTACAATGAATATTTTCTTTTTAAATCCGACTTCCATTCTCAACTTTACAGAAGTGATCCATAGAGCGCAGGACATAGTATATATAAAAAAAGCAAAGTTTTGATTGGCTTCTTGCAGTGAATTAGACAGTGGTTTGCTTGAGAAATTTTAAGTAAATCTACTTTTCAAATACTGGGTTTTTTAAAAACAGTCAATGGGGTTGATTTCACCACCAGTCTCACTGAGATAGGATTAATACAATGTAAAATCACAGGAATCTGTTTTTTCTTGGTATTTTCTTTCATTTGCAGATCTGTTATTGTTCTTGATGTACATTATAGCCTGAAAGATCTTTTAAAAGCATCAAAATATCTCCTTTGATATCATTTTTTTTTAAATCTAGATACTGTTGGCTGTTTTTATTAAGCTTCACAAAGCTGATCAGGAAATGTTGCTCAGAGAACTCTGTTTCGCAAATAACTAACCATCTCTTCCTGGATTCCCCAGATCATGTCAAGGGCTATATGATTTTAGTCAGGAGAGTACCTATTTGAGGGGAATCTTTACTCTGGAAGCATCTTTTGCAGAGGCCACCTTTGTGGACATATTTTTTCTTTAGAATCAATTTTGTTGATCATATTTGTATTTTGAAAAATATTGTTTTTTATGAGGTAACATTTTGGCCCAAACCAGAATTATGGCTACGACTATTAAAGTGATTCTTGCAAAATGTATAGATCCTGTCAGCATGCTGCTACAGATTTCGCATCACTTTCAAATCCTTCACTGAACAGCTGAAAAACCACAAAGGCAATCAGATAATTCAAAGTCTGTAGATGAAATAGGAGTAGGAGTAGTGTCATATTCATTGTAACTTCTCAGCTTATAAAGTATTGACCATCTTTGATTACATCATCCCTGAAAAGATTGTTCAGGTGGACGAATAATCAGTGCCGGAAAATCAAGAGAAAATACCAAAAGAAACAACCCAATGCAGGCTTGTTTGAGAACTATATATTACCCTTTGCAGGGATCGAGGGGCTGTTTGGATTACTAACTAAATCCATCACAAACAAAGGGAAAATAAAATTTTAAATGATGACGATATTGGCAAATTGTGTACAGTTGTCCCAAGAGAATGAATGTATACTATGTCCAACTTGACATAGATAAACAATCACAAGAGCTTGTTCCACAATGTGGAGATTCAGTTAGAAATAGACTTTTGGATGAACACATAATCTACCAAATTTTACCAAAGCACTCCAAACTAACTGGCATCTCGCTGTTTAAATCTATCTGGCGTAAGTAATTACTACATCCTTTCACCCATTTATCATTCTGATCAAACGTTTTTTAAAAATTGTTCTGATTCTCACTCTTGCAAAAATATACTTTATTTTCAAGTGATCTGACTGCAAAAGAATACTTTGCTTTCCCCAGCTTATCAATGTATTCCTTGTTCTGATCTAAACTGCTTAATAATAAAGAAACAGTGCTCATACCTCAGCTTATCTGAATTCATGATCATTACACATCTGTTCTGTTCTTTTTTCGCCACCACCAAAATGCGTAATTGTATGTCACTTTAAATCATTTAGTTTTTGTAAAAAAAAATCCTGTAGGACTATCCCCCACCCCCACCTCTACTCCCCCAAAAGTAGCTCAGCAATTCTAAGATTTAATGACATTTACTAGAGCTAATCATATATATGCAGTGGCTGCATGCAACATATTTCAAATTAACTCACTAGCTCCCTATGAGCTATATCTGAAGGGGAGGAGAGTTCTGCAGTCAAGCCACACCAGGACTTTAATACTTGGTGCCTTTGTCATGTTCCATTTGGTCTCTGTGGATCTAATTTAATTGAGCCGATGCCGAATCTGAATCACAATTCAAATCACCACTGTTTACTTTAGACAATGTACAATAATGGTGTACATGGAATGCTGCTCTTGCAATTTTACAAACTGATAGCATTTAAAACAGAATGCTTCCTTGTACTGCATATTTATCAGTCAGATATTTCATTAATGTCAATCTGTAAATTCGAGGTTTTCTGTGAGGAGGGGCATGTGTCCCTGTACCATACCCATCAGCTAAGTTTGTGAATGCCTGCATAAAGTGCCAATTGCATTTGCAGACTAATGTCATTATGTACCAGTGTTGGGAGGGCAGTGAGACCGATAGCTGCTATTTGTTAATCAGTATCAGACAATAACTGCACTAGGAATTGAAGAGATTCTCACAGTTCCTACTTACAAGAGTGAAGGAAAGAATGTAGTGATTGACCAGTATAAAAATTGAATCAGGCCAGCTTTTACCAAGCCCCTTATTGTGATTTTTTTTTTTTTTTCAGAATATTACCTACTGGTTTAAATTTTAGTACTGGTTTATTGTTAACCTGTACTGGGAGACACCACAAAACAAAAGAATTAGTGCACGTGAAAACCTGACTGCCTGCCTGTATTAATGTCACCACATTACAATTGTAACAATCAGGTACAGGTTCTGGAAAGTTGGCAATACATGCTGTATCTATCTTGGTACCTCTTAGTATTTGTAGTAATGCTGGGCCTTTTACAAGCATAGCATCTATTTTAGTGTACTGGAATGATCTCTCTCAATACCAGTCTAGTACCACTCGATGCAATATCTACCACTACATATGTAATAAGTGCTGGAATTGATTTTACTGAATACCTATGCTGTACAGGTCTAGTATCTGTGCCATTAATGTTTTGGTATGGGCACGGACTTGGAATGCAGATGTGGCATTTGTACTGGTCTATTGCTATAGGAAAGGGGTGGCTTCAGCATTTACGCTGATCCATTTTAATTATTTTTTTGAAGATCAGTCCTTAGAAAGTGCCTTTACAGAAGCTGGTGCTGTAGAAATTTTTTTTTGTTCATTATGTGGCTGAAACAGTTTTATATAATGCCAAGAATATGACAGTATCCTGTAGCTGATGTATTTAATGGCAGTTTCTACTAAGTCAGGACCAAGATGGGGACGATAATACGAAAAGCTTTGAAGAACACTCTCAATACACAACCTAACCAGAAAATGATACAGAATAGGAGCTATGATTGTTGTGAATTGACAACGTTTCTTTCAACTCTATCTCCAAGTTGAGAATATTTTCCTGTTTTGTAAATGTTTATATGTCAACGTTCTGCTCAACTCCTTCCATTAGAAACTTCATGTCTAGTAGGAGAGATGAGTGATACAGGCCTAATGTGTGTTTTGAAGTGTGATAACAGAGTGCATGCAGTATATTAATTCTAATTTGTTTGTAACTATGACAAAAACTTTATAGTTGGCCAACTGCACTCTGTGGTGCTCCTATTATTGGGCCTATATCTTCTTATCTCCACAAGTTAGAGATGATGATATTTTCAGTAAGCAAATGAATCTCTGCAAGGCAGTTTTCCAGTTTCTGAAATGGTGAACATGTATTTACATGTAAACATATATATACATTTTGGTTCTCATCACATTCTACATCTATTCTGAAGAACTCAGATTGTATTTTTTGTTTAAACAAAGGAGCTGTTTATAATTTGATGCAATAACGTGAAAAAACCCTCTTAACGAACATACTTAAATGTGCTTACTAGTAGAGCCAGAATTTCAGGTAAGGAGTATTCATTCACTGAGGATTACATATTTTTTTTGCATTCTATTTAATTCTAATTCAAAGGAACCAATCTGGCAGAGCCAGTGAACTAGAGAATGTGTTTATTTGTGGGCAGTACATTCAAAGGTTTCCATCTTAAATATAAGTTAACTGTGTTTCTTTCTAACACTGACATAACAGTAAGAGAACTGCTATCATCTGAAGATGGTCTTGCTTTTATTAAATCAACAAATCTTGCATTGCTCCTGTAGTAACGTGAGCAGCTAAGCAATCCACAACAGCAAAAGCCTTACTTGTTTGTTGTTGATGATCAGCTGGCATAAAATGGGGGACGGGAGTTGAGGAGATTACTACAATTGTTACTCTGGAATTGTGGATTAGAGAGGGGAGAATTTGGCAGGGTTACTGCTTCGGGTCACAGTGATCTGCTATCTCTGCTGTGGGTGCAAATGTGTAAATATAGATGAGGACTGAATCTGCTTTGCTGCAGCATTCTCAATGAATGAACAGTTTGCTATCATTTTGTCTCCAGGTCCACTCATGTACCTTGCCTTATTGGACATGGCTCAAGAATCAATTCTTTTACAAAGAGAAGGGTAGAACACTGGAAAAAAAAAATTTCAATGTCTTAATTGTTTTCTACAGTTTGTTCCAATTGGATTGTACTGTTTGTGATAATCCTTACGAAGTAAACTGTCATTTACTCTTCACTCCAAGGAGGCAGAAGCAGTAATTGGGTAACATTTCTTTCCCTAATGAATTCCAAATAACTAATCTGATTGATATGAATAACAAAGTTGAAACTTCAACTTTTCAAACTGGTTTCACTATCTAGATTTTCACAGCTCAATGTTTCAGTATGTTCTTGGAATTATGCTTTAAAAATATTTTTGAAATGATATTTTGTATTAGCATATTGAGTCTATTAGATTTCTGATGGTTTGATCATATTTTGGGTGGATTGACCCCTTTTTTAAATGTATTCTAGAGTAAGTAAAATAATCTTAAAATAAGCAAGTAATCAATTATATCAATAGTATCATAGAATTATATAGCACACAATTAGGCTATTTGCCCCATTGTCTGAATAGGCTCTTTGGAATAGTTGTCTAATTTATTCCACACCACATCTTTTTCCACAAAACCTTGTAAACTAGTCCTCTTCAAGTGTGTCAATTGCCCTTTGAAAGTTCCTATGGAATTTACCTTCTCAACGGTTTCAGATAACATAATTTCTGAATGAAGTATTTATTGTTCCCCTCTCATTCTTATAGTTAATTTACGACAGCCTCAGGTTCTTGATCCACAGAAAACAAACCTTTTCATAATTTTGAATATTCTATAAAGTAGAAATGTGAGAAGGTGTACAGCACAGAAAGAGGCCATGTAGCCTCTTATAGCCAGTTGTGTCCACGCTGGTTGTAAAAAGACACATTTAGTCTTGTTCCATCTTCTAACTTCTGGTCCACATAACCTGTGGGTTATGGTGCCTCAAGAGCATATCTAAATGCTTCTTGAATACAATGAGGATTTCTACCTCTACCCCTTCAGGCAGAGTTCCAAACTTTTACCGCCTTCTAAATAGAAAATAATGACTCCTCAACCTCCTTTAATTCTTCTACCAATTGCGTATATCTCTGTCCTCCTTATTATTGACCTGTCTGTTAACAGAAGTAGATCTTTCCAATCCACTCTATCCAGATGCCTCATGGTTTTATAAAACACCGTTAAATATCTCCTTAACCTTTTCTGCAAGGAGGACAATTCCAGCTTCAATTTTCTTCCCCACAATTGATTTTCTTTATCCTCGTAAACCTAAGCTGCATCTTCTCCAATGCCTTGACATCCATTCTAAACCTTTAACTATTACCAATAGTAAAAAGAAGTTGGATGGGACAGTAATATAATCATTAAAGTACTCATTTTCCATCTGCATTCTTATTAGCTTATAACTGGACCCACTTATTTACTTCATGGAGAAGAAGATGATGTTAAACTTGTGAGAATGTAAATTATAGAAATAGTGACAAAATTAAATGTGGAAAAGTAAATCATATAGAACTGGTCACGAGAATGTTTTCATTGTATGTTGCTTGTACTGCATAGAGTAAAATGTTTTGTTGAATGAGAATTTTATGAAGAGGAATTTATTTGATTTTTTTTTAATCTATTAGAAACACTATTCATGACTATGGTCGGCAGTTTGCGTTCCAGCGCTACCTGAAGCTTAAACTTAAACTGAATGCATGTGAAGTTGATGAATTTATGTTAAAAAAGAATCATATCCTGGGCTGGAAGAGAAGGCAAAAGAAAAAGAAATGTTACTAACTATGTCTCCTCTCACAGCAAGCATACCTCCTGTTAGCCTGGCACAGTAACATTTGTGTCAGGCTCAAGGAGAACTCTTGGAGTTTTCCTTCTCATATGAAGGATGAAAACTTGTAGTGGTTGGTGGTTGTGTATGGTGAGCGTTCTGTTTTAAGGAAGCTTGGGATTAAAAAACACTGCACCTCAGTAACCTTCATATGCTGCATAAAAAATACTGCTTTTGGTTACATTATATCTGCTGCACATGCTTGACAGTACACTTTAACATGTTTAAAAATTGTCTTAATAGCAGTTATCGAATTGGATTTTTAATGGAAAAAATGAGCCTTTATTTTGTGGTTATTTCTGAGAGTTAACTCTTATTTATTACTAATGTTTAGCATACTGCAGTGTAACATATGCATTAGTGTTGCAATTATACATTTAGAGGGAGGGCCTCTGCTATCGCTTGTTGCCTTTTTCTTCAGAGGAGATGAGTGTGAATTTGAAATTATCATAAATGTTTTTGGATGTTCTACCTATTACTGTTGAGGTTGCTTAGAATAGATCACTGGCCTTCATTAAAGAATTACAAGAACTTTGCAAGTAAATCTTGCAAAAGATGAAATCTTAAATTAGAGGTGAAAAACATTGGTTCTTTAGTCCATTAATACTAATCTACATGTGCTTTTTTTTTAATGAATTCCTTTAAGTGTTATCGTGGCATTAGCGTATCTACGGGATAGCAAAGATTTTGCAGCCACCAAAAACTAGTTTTTAACTGAAATCCTACAGCGATAGTCTGTGCAGGCAGTTGTGGAATTCATTGCAGGGTGTATCCTGTGTTGTAAGTCAGGATAATGAAGGCCACTGATTTTTTTTTGTATATGTTAAATTAAACCCATTGGATTGTTTCTTTTGTTAAACACTCTCACACTCAAGTGGCCAAATAACAATCCATAAATTTCCAAAGTGACCTCAGTTGAGCTTCATGCCGTGTGACATTTGTTCTAATTTTTATAATTAAATTGAAATTGACCTGTGGCATCTGTAAAAGTTCAGCTTTGGTCCAAGTTACTAAAACTGCAAATTTTTTTTTGGTTTTACCTGAAATTGGCAACAATATGATAGGTCAGCAGTGAAGGCAATGGTCTGTAATGGGAATTGAGAAAACCATACTGAGCTATGTGGGAGAGAATCAAATGACAGTATTCATTTCTGTTGCTTTAAATGTCAAAGTGGTGATTTAATCCACTGGATAACTTATTTCACTGCCATCAAATATCATTTTCTTTACAACATCATATTCAGTTCTCTGGCAATGTAACAATTCTTGTGTGAAAGTTTGGAATTCCCACTTTTACGGCTCCTTTCACCATACACCATTCCCTAACCAAAAAATTACCTGCAGAATGCTTTCTAGATCTCTGGTCATTCTTGATCCAGATGTTTGGAGAGCAGCTGTTGTGGGTGACTTGCCAGCTGAATTTTCCCTCCCTCTGGAAAAGTGCCTGACCTTGACTGAATGCTTCCCTGACTGCATGGCTGAGTTTGAGAATTTACCATGTGGGGAATGGCAAGCCATTTATGTTTTACCAGTCCATAGTACGGTATGTTACAGGATCAAAGTGCTTCTGTGCCATGCCATTGGCGTTGTAATGAATCTTAATTGCATCGGTGCAGGTTTCCATATAATAAAAATAAACTTTTTAATCAATGTAATGCTGGTTCTATGTCTACATTTCTGCCTGTGTTATGAACAAGCAGTGACAGCTGCATCAAATACATATGTCACTGGGACCCATCACACACAATTGTAATAATCTGGCTGTTAATGTCACCTGAAACAGCTCTCTGGGAAAGAAAGAATATAATGAATATCCCATTGATTACCCAAGTTAAACTGGGATCCCTGCATTTCCTGTTTATATACCTTTTACATATTTAAGTCAGAAATATCTAACTTGTTCAATGCTGACTTCCCAGGAGATCATTTCTGTATTAACCCTCTTGAGTATCAAATAAGATTTGCTTTGTCTTTTGTTTGCAGTTACTCTCTTTATTTATAATGTTCAGTGTTGTGTCTTGAGTACCCATTAACCTTTGGCATCACTGCGATGTTATTGAATCATCCTCTGTAATTGCATTGTTGAAACTGCGGCTGTGTTTTTGTGGCAGTTGAACTTCAATAGGTTATCAAACTCTAGCAAATGATTACTTGTTTTCACCCAGGCAGACCATAATAAGCATTGTATTTTAAAAATTCATCAACCTAAATGTGCTTTACAGTTTTCTAAATATGCATCAATATATAATGCCTTCAAACTTGTTTTCACTATCTGACAAGTGACGCACATTAATTGAGAAACGCACAGAGCCTCAAGAACAGTTTTTAAATTCAAAGTATCCTGTGAATAAAATAGATTGTAATCTTGCATTTGGTGCATAATTGTTACTGTAGTCCTCAAGAGGGTTAATATTTGTATAACATGTTTTTGTAAATGTGTTCATAATTTCTAAGAATTTCTTGCTTGGTCCATTCTTGTAACAAAGAAAGGAACTTGACTTCTTTTGTTAAAGTGCAAATATATTTGCCAATTAACTTGGATTTTATAGTCCCTAGATATTTGATCCAGAATTTTGTGGAACTGGGCAAACAGTTTTCCTTTACAAATCCTAGCAATCTCTTCCAGGATATTTTCAAAATATGTTTTTCCTCCATATACATTTTGGGAATTAAATTTTCTTTACATATGAAGAATTCAATTAAAATTCCAAAACTTAAAATGTTGTATAGTAACATGCAAAGCAATTGATCATGTGATTCTGTAGAGAAGTTTTGTTGTACATGATAACATCACTTGTATAATTGCTGATTGAAACTTCTCAAAGTATTTGGGGACCACGTTGGATTTGTCTCTTAAAATAATGTATTTTCTCAGCTGATAAAACCTGCGATCCAACAATATTATTATACAGTTTCAAAGTGTTCACTATGAAACCTCTGAACATTACTCAGCCAGATATCACAGGTTTATTTAATTCTTTATTAAATTTGAAAACTAGATTTTTGTTTTAAAGTCATGGCATTATACATTTCTAAATTCAAAATATTCTTGGAATAGGCTCCAAAAGAGAGATTATGATTTTATTTAATTTTGATTTTTGCTGCAAATCATCGTTTGTTACTAAAAATGTTTACACTTTCAATGTATTATCTCCCTCCAATTCACAAATCAGTAAAATGGTGTACCCAGAGCATTTCCCATCAGTTACATACTAACAGTACATGATCCTGGCAACCTCTTATGGGTTGTCCTACACTGTCAGCCAGTGGTATGTTTCCCAGTCTTAATATATAGTAAAATCAAATCTACAGTGTCGCAAAAAAATCTGTAACAAAATCCTATAGGTTATTTGACTAAATCTATTGTAATTTTTTAATGTAACTCTCTTGTTCAGTGTTACTGTCCTCTTCAATAAAAGTTTATTTCAATACATTAATGTTAAGACAAGTCCCAATATTTCTTGATTCTCTAGTTCGGTTTTGCCAAGCAAACAACGTGTGCAGGTTTGAGTATATTTTGTTGTCTTAATTGACAACTTTAGGTTTGTGCAGCATCTTGGACTTTGGTCTTTCAACCCTAATACCGGAGTTAAAACCACCTCAGACTGATGGGATAAAAGTCTCCTATCAGTTACCAGAGTCTTATGCAAAATCTGCAGCAGTCGCAATCTATCATCATACAAAACTGATTATGATTTCATAATGAGAGTAATTACAGCTAAGATTTATGTAATACCTTTAACATTAGAAAAGTTCCCAAATGACTACACATTTGAGAATCAGGCGCAAGAGAACAATTGGTTGAGAGGTAATGAGAAAAAATATTTTGCAGGAGATGAGAAATTAACAAGGTGAATTATTTAGGGGGTGTTTCTTGATATGATTGAGCTTCTACCACCATTTATAGAGCAGTGAGAAGGGTGAACACAATAAATTCCAATGGAAGAAGCAGATCTGAACGGAATTCTTTCCTTGGTAGATGTTGAGGAACGATTTATGAACTAAAACGGGATTTTGATGTCAATTTATTGACTAAAGAAATCAGTTGGGGTGAGTAAAGGACAAGTGATAAGTGAACAAAGTTTTGTACATGGTAGGGTGAAGATGATAGAGCTCCTGATGAGTTGACATATATATTAGTGGAAGTTTGACTGGTAAAGGGCATTGGGAAAGAGGACACGCATTAATGAGTGTTTCAGTGTCTGTGTGATGTATAATATGACAGTTTTAAAAATCTAGAAGGAATGTGGTGCCAGAGAAGTCAAAGCTTTATTCTGCATCTTATTGTTACCTGAGTTTCTAATCTAGAACTGATTAATGACTCATTTTGACTGATATGAAATATTAGGTTTTCAAATGAAAGAAACATTTGATTCATGCAAAAAAGCTGAATGCAGTGTTCTCTTGCAAATCTCTGCAATTAGGTAAAACACAGAAGACTAAATTATTATCCATCTAGAAGGAGGAAAAAATCCAAGAAAGATTAAACCAAGGTACTCTGGTGCATATTGATTCAATATCTCGTTCGATATTGATGGAAGTTTTGTTTGATTTTCTCAGTTCAGCTCTTGAAGTAGCACAAAGTCCAACTCAACAGTGCAACTCTACAACAGAGTTCTTACTTAACTCTGAGAATTGAGTCAGGGAATTTAAGGGTTCATCTGTTTCTAAAATCCAGCCACATTTGAATTTAGTACCTTGATATTAACTTGTTTCTATCACGCTTGATGGTAAACAACCTGTCTGTTAGCGAAGGCTGAACAGTTAGTAAATTAGGTGGCTGGTTAGAGCTGACTACCCAGAAAGCAGGGCTTGATTCAAATCTGCAAGCAGAAATACAAGAGGTATTGCCTGGCTGCAAATGAAGTTGCACAAAGTCCAGCTTGACTAAAGACTGCCGCACAGAGTGATTACTTTACTCGGGGAATTTAAGTGAAGGAAGAGGTGATGTTCTGCTCTTTTACATGCAAGAGTGGTCTGAGAGAGGTAGTAAGAGCTGGTGGAGACCTGCAAGCTAAACTCCATGGGCATTTAGGTAAGCAGATGGGTAATTGGTAAATTTTAAGGTTTAGTTTTTCTTTCTCCAAACTAGAGCTGTAACTTTAAACGAGGAAAGTATACTGTATTAAATTGATGGCTTAACGAGTTAAACTAATTGATAATTACAAATGATTATTAAATCAAGATTAAACTAAAATAAGGTTTGTCTAAGACATGGCAAAGCATATTCTGCCTGTACTGCAAGTTTATGGATAACAAAGTCATTAGAGCAAAATAAATGCCAGAACACTGGATTCTGGAAATCGGAAATTAAAACATGCTAGAAAAACTCAACAGATCTGGCAGTGTCTGTGGAGAAAAACAGCTAATATTTTGAATCCAAATTACTCTGCTTTGGAACTGGAAAGTAACTGAAAAGTAATTGAATCGTTACTGAGAAAGCAAATAGAAGAATGTTTAGAATGAGAAATGTAATCATGAACAATAGTAAGCATGGATTTCAAAAGGGGAAATTTTGCTTGACCAACCTTGTCAAAGTTTGTAAGGAGGTAAGAGTGCAAACAGGACTGCAACAAAGTATTGAAGAGCATTAATTTGCAAACAGGAAATAATTTGTAAATTGTTTAACATTGATAAATAAGATAGTACATTTTGATTGGAAGAGTAGGTTATTTATTACACAGAAATTGCAAATTGAGATGAGATAGAGAGATGGACATCTGAGTCCATATTGATGAACAAATGTTATGCCACAGGTTAGCAAGACCACAAAAACAGCTCAAGGCTTTATTTCTAAGATAGAATTGAAGAGTTGATATGTTGTGCAAAACTTGTCTTGAAATTTGCTTATATCACTTTTAAAGTACTACAGAGTTACAATCACCATAAAGAAAGAATGTAGAAGCACTGGAGAGGAGCAGAAAAATGTTAGGATTATACTAAAATGCATGAGTTTTCATATCAGGAAAGGATTGACAGGATGGGTCTCCCGCTGAAAATAAAAAGCAGAGGGATGATCTCATTGAGGTCTTTACAATCACAAAATGTTCTGGTACAGTGGATATACAGAGAATGTTTCCTGTTGTGAGGAAGGGCATAGCTGAGATCATCAAAATGAGATGATCACCAAGAAACCCAATAAGGAATTCAGAAAAAGTCTTACCCAGAGTCATTAGAACATGAAAGTGGATGATGCATTTAAGAAGAAAATAAACCAGTATTTGAGGCAGAATGGAACAGATGGTTACATACGAAATGGTAAGATTGAAGGCTTGAATGGAGCATCACCACTAGAGTATACTAGTTGAGCTTAATGGCCCGTTTCAATGCTTTATAGCCTATATAAAATGTTCTTTCTATTTTTGTTGATACTAATTCCTTACTGTCATCTGCTATAATGCAGATAAACAAGTTGGCAAATCCTTCCAACACATGCCAATGGCAGGTGCTATGTGTGGAAGTAATTCCTGATCAAGCGTGGGATGGAAATAAAGTGATCTGTTGTTTGCAGAGGAGTAAGCTGAATCCAAAGCACCAATGATCCGTCTGGCAGATAATCAAACTACAGACAAGGAAAGGCCTTAACTCAATTCGCGTTGTACGGTTTTAACAACTGAAAGGCGAAGACACTCTCCTGAATCGTGGCATGATACAGTAAAGGATGAGGCCATTCAGGTGGAAATATGACTTTTGGTAACGACTGCGTTTTGTACAACTGGCTCGAAGGTGTAAGCGATGCTAATGTGTAAGTTCCATCACCTTATGCTGTTTGCCTCGGTGGGGAGAAACTACCGCAAGCACCGAGAAGCAAAGCCTCAGAACTTGAGAGACCCTGAGGAAGGGTTACTCTACCCGAATCATTATTTCTGATTTCTCTCCACAAATGCTGCCAGACCTACTGAGCTTTTCCAGCAATTTCTGTTTTTGCATACTACGTTTCAATCGTTTTTAATGTTGCGGGTTCACAGTCAATCAAGACTGAATCTAATGCCTCCCCTGGGGGAAAAAATTGTCTTACTGAGCGGATCTTGACTTTTTTTTTTCCCCCAAGACTACCTTCTCTCTTCAATACAATGTTAACAAAAACAGAGTCAATTATTGATGCAGGGCATTTCTGAATGGCGCCGCCTGGTTGTAGCACTTCCAGTTGCCATGGTTGTGTTTGTTCAAGTTCAGTTTTTTTCTGATTGGTGCGAAGGGTCCGGTCTCCGAGCAACGGTGATAGTGTTAGTGATAGCGGCTGGAACGCTCGGCAGCGCCTCGAGCCCATGCTCCAGACTACCCTGAAGAAGTCCAAGAAAACCCTATCAGTTGTGGGTAAGTGCCTGGCTTACAAATTCCGACCCAAATGGTGCATTTTGTTGGTGTGCAATTGAAGTAGTAGAAACGTTTATTCTCGTTTCATGTAGTCGAGTCTTCACGTGATACTATTGCCGCCTTCAACTAGTGTAGGAAAATATAATGGTAAGACTTTGGGAAATGTTCATTTTTTAAAACAGCAAGGCAAAAATTCTCATAGATTCTGCTGCAATCGAGAGTAAAGCAAAAAGACTCTAGATTGGCATGCATGAGCTGATCCCACCCCAGACGGCAATAGGAGCCACTCCTGTTGGAAAACCAACAAGGATTCCTGGCCTTCATTGTTTTTTAGGATCTAGTGCTAGAAAGTTAGTTTGGAAACATATTGAGTGGAAACCAGGTCAGGCCCATACTTGAGTTTCACACAGTCCATCCTGTCCACAGCTATCATCAAGCATCAATCTATTCTAACCCCAGTTGCAATTATTTGGACTGTTGCCTTGTGTGCTGTGACATTTCAAAATCATAGTATGACCAGGCAAAGTCAGTATGGCTTAACAAAAGTGCCATTCTGCTTAACAGATTTATTAAGGCTTTGTGGATGCAACTAGTAAGTAAAGACAATGCAGTAGATGTAACTTACTTGAATTTCAGAAAGGCATGCATAAAAGTTTCAATCAAGATCGGGGCTTATGGAGTTGTGGATAATATACTGGGATGGATGAAGAGCTGGTTAATGCACAGAAATTAAACAGTAGAGATAAACAAGACATTTTCAAGTTGGCAGGCTGAAACTAGTGAAGTGCCACAAAGATCAGTTCTGATGCTTTGACTTTTTGCAGTCTATATTAATATCTTAGACAAAATAGCAAGTGTGATGTAACAATTTGATGGTGATGCAAAGCTTGATGAGAATACAAACAAGGAGAGCACAAAGAGATTGCAAAAGGAATATGGACAAGTTGATCCTGAGATGAGCTTCCAGCCTTGAATTTATGCTATCACTAAAAGCATCAATTTCCACCTCTGTAACATTCCCCAGTTTCATAATCTGCTGATGATTTCCTCATTTATGCCTTAAATATCTCTAGAGTTGATGATTCCAATACATTCTTGGTTGGCAAACCAGATTCTACTATTTGTA